TTCATTATAGGATGTTTAATAACATCCTGGCCTCTGTGCAGTAGATACCAGTAGCACCCATCCTCCCCTCAGTCATTAACATGCAAAAATATCTTCAGACATTGCCAAATGATCTCAGGAGGAGGACAAAATTAACCCCAGTTAAAACTCAACTACTATCTGGGGTTCAAAAGCACTCAAAATATGTTTTGGATAGAACTGTTTGTTTCAATGCCAAAATTCTTATACATGTGTTGGAAAACTAGTCATATCTTTTGTATCTTTTGAGAATAAAGGTAATAAGGGTCACTAGAATTTTTTGGAATATGAAGAAAATGAAAATTATCCACACTGGGGATCAAGCCGCAATTGGGCATATGCCCTGGCTGGGAATCAAACCGTGACTTTTCTGGTTCCTAGGTCAACATTCAAGCATTCAGCCACACTGGCCAGGCATGAAGCTTTTTTGGAAACATAGATTGGATTCTCATTTGCTCTTCTGCTTTTGTAATAACAATAGCTAACATTTATTGAAGATGTATTATGTACTTTCCTCTAGTTCTACATGTTTTGCAGGTATTAAATAACATATCCTTCTCAGTGGCCCTTTGATAGGCAGTGGTGTTATCCTATTGTACAATTGAGGGACCTTTGGCACAAAGCAGGGATGGCACTTGCAGAGTTAGAGGGGGCGAGTGATGCGGTGGGATTTGATCCCAGGTAATTTGTCTGCACTGGCTATGGTCTTACCCACAAGGTGATCCTGTTTGAAACTTGATCAGCAGTCCTTACAGTTTTCTCTTTTTGTAAAGCTTTTCCTGATCTCCCTCCCCACCCCAACTAATCTGATCTAGCTTTTCCCGCCACCTTGCTCCCAAAGATTTTGTTATAGAATCTACTCAATCACATAACATTCTTACCTCTTCAGCTCTAATCTCAGTTCCATGAGAGTAAGACAGTGTCTTTTTTTTTTAATTAAAAAAAAAACCCTTTGTTTTAGATTTATAGAAAAATGAAGATAGCATAGTATAAAGAATTCCTATATACCCTGCTACCTCTGTTGTAAATATCCTATATAATAAAAGCTTAGTATGCAAATTGACCAAAAGGCAGAACGAGCGGTTGCTATGATGTGTACTGACCACCAGGAGCAGACACTCAACACGGAGCTGCCTCCAGCCCACAGGCCCCAGGCCAGCCAAGGCAGGTGTGAGCGGGGAGCCAATCACCGCACCAGTTGCCCCACAGATTGGCCCTGATCGCTGGCCAGGCCTAGGAACCCTACCCATGCATGGATTTCGTGCACTGGGCCTCTAGACTTAAGTTAATATGGTTCATTTGTCACAAAATGAACCAGTATTGATACATATATTAGCTAAAATCAGGTTTCCTTAGTTTTTACCTAATGCCTTGTTCTTGTTTCAGAATTCCATCCAGGATATCACATTACATTTAATCATCATTTCTCCTTAGGCTCCTGTTGGTTGACAGTTTCTTAGATTTTGTTTGTTTTTTATGATCTTGAGCATTTTGAGGATGAGGTGTTATGTAGAATGTCCCTAGGTTAGATTTGTCAGATGTTTGTATCATGATTACATAATTATAATAAATTAGATATTTATTTTTGGGATGAAGATCATAGAGATGAAGTACTATAGTTGATCATATCAAGGTTGTATACTTCAAGATGATTTGTCACTATTGATGTTGACCTGGACCACCTCACTAAGTGTGCTCATCAGGGTTATCTACTGAAATTTTCTGCACAGATTTGTTTCTTCCCTGTTTATTCACTAGAGGCCTGGTGCATGGATTTGTGCACCAGTGGGGTTCCTCAGCCTGGCCTGCAGGGATTGGGCCAAAACCAGCTCTCCAATATCCCCTGAGGGGCCCCAGGTTGTCAGAGAGTGCAGGCCAGGCCTAGGGACCCCACAAGTGCACAATCGGGGCTGGTGAGGGACCACAGGAGGGCTCCAGGGTGTATCTAACCTGCCTCACCTAGTCCAAATTGGCCAGACCCCAGCAGCAAGCTAGCCTACTGGTCGGAACGTCTGCCCTGTGGTGGTCAGTGTACATCATAGTGACTGGTTGAACGGTCGGACACAGCATATTAGGCTTTTATATGTGTAGCTATCAGTATGGATACATGGTTACTTATACTTTAGGTTTAATCTAATACTACTTTATTTATTCTGTTGTTCAAATTATTCCAGCTAGGATATTGGGGTATGCTCTTTCATTTAGCTCCTTTGTCCCTTTTACATATTACCATTAGTAGTGAGTTTTGAGTTGTGTGTGTGTGTCTATGTGTCTGTGTGTCTGTGTCTTCCTTCCTTCCTTCCTTCCTTCCTTCCTTCCTTCCTTCCTTCCTTCCTTCCTTCCTTCCTTCTAAATAAATAGATTTGTTGGTCCACTTATTTATGCATTCGTTGATTAATTCTTGAATATGCCCAAACCAGGGATCGAGCCTGCAATTTTGGTGTATCAGGACAATGCTCTAACCACTTGAGCTACTCAGCCAGGGCTTTATGTTTCTTTAAGATTAGGATTAAAGGTCAAATTCTGTGCTCTGGTCCTCCTATGGTCAGACCTGTGCAGGTGTGATTGATGGTTCTTAGAGAGGCTAAGACAAAATATGCTAAGTTATGGAATAAAACAAATAATCAGTTTCAGCCTTAGAGCCCAAGTTCGAGAACAGAACTCCACAGCTGACATATGGGTCAATGGACTGCAAGAGGTGAGACCTTGAATACACACACACACAGCCTTCAGGGTAGGTAAAGGCTGAGTAAAGGCCTTGGACTTGGACCAGTTGCACCATGTGCCATAGAATTATTATCCTTTTCCATGTGTGCCATGACATGAAAGAGCTTGGAAATACTACCCTGAGTTCATGGAGCTCAGAGCTAGGTTTTTTTTATCCCTCTAGTTTTTCCCTCAATCTCTCTAGTGTGTGCGTGTATCTGTGTGTGCGTGTGTGTGTGTGTGTGTGGGGGTGTGTGTGTGTGTGTGTGTGTGTTTGCGCGCGCCCACGGAAGGGGAGAGTGGAGCGGGAGGGTGAGAGGAGTAGAATACATATAACATTTACCATCTCAACCATTTTAAGTGCACAGTTCATTGGTATTGAATATATTGAAATAATTTTGCTACCATTTCCACCATGAATTCCCATAACTCTTTTCATCGTATGAAATTGGAACTATACCTATTAAACAGCAGTAACTCCTATTTCTCCTCCCCCAGTCCCTGGTGACCACATTTTACTTTCTGTCTCTGATTTTCACTATTCAAGATACCCCATATAAAAGGAATCAGAATATTTGTCTTTCTATGACTGGCCTGTTTCACTTAATATAATGTCATCAAGTTACATCTATGTTTTAGCATGTGTTAGAATAATATTCCATTGTATGGCTAGACCATAGTTTGCTTATCCATTCAGTATGCTCACCTCACTCCTGTCTCCACCTTGTTTTTGTTTTGCCTGAGTTTCCTTACACATTTCTTCAGACAAGGTTGTTAGAGGCCTCGAGAGTTAAATAGTTCAGGTCTGAATCCTGGATCCTTGTTTTAGTGATTATGAGACCTTTGTAGCAAATTAATTTCTCTGAGCTTTTATTCCTTATCTGTAAAATGGATATACGGTAGGTATTTAGGGTTAAACAAGACAGTAAAAATTGGCATAGTGCCTGGCACATAATAATTGCTCGACATATTAATTATTAAAATATGCTCACCATTTGTACTTTTGAAATTTCTCAGTCTTTTCTGGCCTGAAGTTGAGCTAGAGGAATATCCTAAATTTATTAAATTAAATCTTAGAGATGATTTTAACCCATTGCCATGAGTATTTTTAAGTGTCTTGTCCTAGGGTGTGAAGGTGATTTTTAGACTGTAGTGCCTGGGCACCCCAAGGTTTCCTTTCTTGAAGCTCTTTGGCCCTGTGATGACGACAGGAGCAAATCTCTGGGTGCCTGTGGGCTCTGGGGGTGCTGGAATTCCTGCATATCTGCAAGGAGGAGGCCCATTGATGGGCCTGGGTGAGCCCACTGTGCCTGCAAGTGGCCACCTGGGCTGGACTGAGCTGGAGGGCTGGTGCTGCTCTGAGACTGTCTCTGCCTTGTTCTGGCTTTCTCCCACTCCTCTGCTCCCAGAAAGAGGGAGGAGGAGTTGGGAACACGTTGTCTTTGTGCTCTGCTTTTGGTTGGCTCAGTGGCACTGTGGGTGCTGGCAGTCATGCCAGGGAAAACACAAATTCAGAGCTGCAAGTGGAGTATCTAAAGAGGGTTTCTAAGTCTGTGGGAAGAGCCAGGAAGCTAACATATTTGTGTGGGCAGAGCCCTCTGCTACAGAGTTGTTTTTTTTAAGTCCTTTTGCCCCGGCTGGTGTGGTTGACTGTCCTCCTTGCACCAAAGATCACAGGTTCAGTTACTGGTCAGGGCACATGCCATGGTTTCAGGCTCCATCCCCAGTGAGAGCATGCAGGAGGCAGCTAGTTGATGTTCTCTCTCTATCCCCCTTCTCTCTTCCCTCCCCCCCTCCTTCTCTCTAAAATCAATTAAAAAACAAACAAACACATTTTTAAAAAGCAACCCTCCAATCAGGGAAGAAAAAAAAATTCTTTTGCAGACTGCAGTGTGAGAGCTTTAGACATCAACAGCAGTTTTGTCAGTATTAAATGCTAAATGTTAAAGGGCTGGTTGGGGATGTTGCCCTGGCAAAGTGGTGCTGAGGACCATATAAAAACAGCGAGAATGGATGCGTGGGGCATCAGGCTCTTGTGTATGCTGCTGGATCTTTTTAATAACGAGATCTACCACCAGCAATGGTAGATCGGTTCTGTGATGGACCTTTTATACTGGGCAGTGGAGGTGAGGACTGACAGATGAGGGGACCTCTTCTGGCTCACTGGTCTGTCCAGGAATGACCAGCTCCTAATGTCTCCACAGCTCTTTTTCTAAAGCATCCTGGGTTATCTGAGTGAGTAGGGCATCTCTAATCTGAATGTCATGTGATTACAGGATCCAGTCAGAGCCAAGAGCAGCCATCCAGTAGTTCTGAGGAGACATCTGGGACGGAGGAAGAGAAAGAGGAAGAGCCCAGCTTCATCATGGGGCGATGACAGTGTTGGCCACGGTGGCTTTCTGGAGCCCAGGGCCTCAGAAGGTCCTCCACATGACCCAAGGAGAAAGGAGGTCGTTTCAACTGTTTCTCTCCCAAGTGCTGGATAGAAGCAAGTGGAAGCCATCCTGACTGCTTGTGGCCCTGCCAGGAGAGACAGAGAGGACTGTCTCCGGGCACTCAAGGCATTCCAAGCAGAGTTCATTCATGTTCCGCTAAAGGGGGGAAATGTATAACCTTCTGCCCCTGCTGCCTGTTCATACATATCTGGACAGTGATGAATTTGAGGCTGGTATTTGTGAAAGGAATGTTTATTTATTAAAGAACAAAAACGAGGTTTTGATTGGACCTGTGAAGTATCTAAGTGTAGAGAAGGCTGAAAATTAGGTGATGGAGATGAGGCCTCTCATACCAGGCTCATTGAGGGAAATAGCCTTGGTCTGGAGCTGATGTGCACTGCAGGGCACCCGACCTCCACTGCCTTCAGCTGAGGGTACAGACTGCACCTCAGAGCACGTGCTCCTGCCTAGCTGCTCCCAGTACACAGGTGTGTTTTGGGAAGCCTTGGACATATGCAAAGGGAGATGTGGGATGTAACCAGGGAAAATAACTAGAGACGAATAAAGAAGCAGGTGGAGAATCCAGGCTGGGCTGCATCAGAGTAGAGGGCATGGGGAATCCATGGCCCAAAGCTGTGTTTTCATCCTGAGGTCAAGGGGGTTCTAATCAGAAAATTTGAGGTTGTTTCTCATGTTTCTAACTCTTTTCTCCTTCTTCCTTCCTCTCTGTAAAAAAGCCCCCTGATGCGTTTGTGTGCATAGTGATACAGGATATAGGATATCTCTATGGCATAGTTTTAAATATAATTGATTCTCGTTTTTTCACAAGTTCTATGTTTAGGAATTCACCAAAATTTATTTGTAACCCCAAAATTAATACTCATGTTTTTGTGGTTATTTGCAGACATTCACAGAACGCCAACATTTTGAGTTGCCCAATGCACACATTCCCAACTGAGGTTAAACAAGGTAGTGCTCTGTCGTCTTGTTTCAGCGCAGACTTACAGATTTTTTACATTTATTGCTCATTGTTGGTGGTTTCTGTTTAAAATGGCCCCCAAATGAGGTGCTGAAGTACAGTCTGATGTTCTTGTTTATTTTGTTACCCCTCACCTAAAGATATTTTTCCATTGATATTTAGAGAGAGTGAAAGGGAGTGGGGAGAGATAGAAACATTGATATGAGAGAGACACATCGATTGGTTGCCTCTAGGACATACCCTTGACCAGAATCAAATCTGGGATGCTTCAGTCTTCCGGCAGATGCTCTATCCACTGAGCCAAACTGGCTAGTGTTCTTAAGTACAAGAAGGCTGTGAAGAGCCTTAGATATCCTTCATTCAGGCATGAGTTATAATGCTGTTGGCTATGATTCAGTGTTAAGGAATCAGTAATATATATTGATAAAGTTGTCATTAAATAAAAACATACATAAGGCTATGAGTTGATCAGCTGATTCAGGGGCTCATAGGAACCCAAACCTCTACTTCCTGATCAACAATAGAAGGGACTGGTTGGGTGTGGTTCAGTGGGTGAGCATTGACCTATGAACCAGGAGGTCACAGTTTTGTTTTATTTTTTAATATATTTTATTGATTTTTTTACAGAGAGGAAGAGAGGAGCAGAGAGTTAGAAACATTGATGTCGGAGAAACATTGATGAACTGCCTTCTGCACACTCCCTACAGGGTTTGTGCCTGCAACCAAGATACATGCCCTTTACCGGAATTGATCTTGGGGCCCTTTACTCCACAGACCTACGCTCTATCCACTGAGCCAAACCGGTTAGGGCAAAGGAGGTCACAGTTTTGGTTCCTGATCTGGGCATGTGCCTGGGTTGCAGGCTTGATGGGAGTAGGGGTTTGCATGCAGGAGGCAGCTGATCTCTCACCGTTGATGGTTCTATCCTTCTCCTCTCTGAAATCATTAAAGATATTTAAAAAATAATAACATAATCTTAAAAAAACAAGCAAAGGAAGGGAGGAGACAGGTGGGGAGTTCTTGGAATAATGTAGGCTGTAGACTGTAGGTAATGATGGCCTAAATTAGTACAAAGGCCGTGGGGGCAGGGAGAAGTGGTGGAAATTCCAGAGACATTTAGGTAGGAGAATTCACAGCACTTGGGGAGGGGAGGAGTCAGGAAAGACACCAGATCTATAGAATCACTAGCTGGGTGGATGGTCACATCCCTGGAGATGGGTGATGTGATCCAGGAAGTAGAGTAGGTATGTAAGGGAAAGGAGGAATTCAGCTCTGGGCATGGTGAAGTTTGGGATACCCCCTGCCAGGCTAGAAAACTCAGGGCTAGAGGTGATGATTGAGGCTCCTGAAACAGGGCCAGTGGGAGAGACCAGTCAGGAAATATAGGAAGGGAGATCCAGACAACACTGAGAAACACCCGAATCTAGGAGACAGGAGCATCCTGCACAGGGGAAAAGTCAGGTGGGGTCCTCGAGGGAAAAGAGTTTCCAGATGGGGTGTGGGGTGTACCCAAAGACGGGCAAGGCAATGGCTGAAATACTTTTGGATGTAGCAGTACAATGTCAGTGAACCTCGGAAGGCTGAGGAGGAAATGAAGTGATGAGGACAGCTCTCTTAATGGTGGCAGGAAGGGGTCAAGCTGAAGAGGAAAGAAGGCTGTGAGGGTCCCAGCAGGTCAAGTAAGAGAGGCAGTGGTTTGAGAACTAAGTAACAGAGTCAGAAAGGATATTTGAATGTAAAATTTCAGAGGGTGATGACAAGGAATAGGCCATAAGAGTGAATGGCGCCCTAGCCAGTTTGGCTCAGTGGATAGAAAGCCTGTGGACTGAAGGGTCCCAGGTTCGATTCCGGTCAAGGGCATGTACCTTGGTTGTGGGCACATCCCCAGTAGGAGGTGTGCAGGAGGCAGCTGATTGATGTTTCTCCCATCAATGTTTCTAACTCTCTATCCCTCTCCCTTCCTCACTGTAAAAAATCAATAAAATATATATTAAAAATAAATAACTTAGGCCTTAGGGGAGGAAACAACTTGCCAGGGTCAACCAAGTAGGAAAATAGCCCAAACTGTAGCCCAAACATCTGCTGGTTACTGCTACTTGTGGACCTTAAACTGAACCTCCTAACCCCTCCATGTAACTCCGTTCAACTGCCTGGGCATGTAAGGGGCCCTCCAACGATTAATACTGTGATCACCAATCTCCTTTCATCCCAGGCGGTGTGGCTCAGTGGTTAAATGTAATCTATGAACCAGGAGGTCATGGTTCAATTCCTGGTCAGGCACATGCCCTGGTGGCTGACTCGATCCTCAGTGTGAGTACCTGCAGGAGGCAACCAATTGATTCTGTCTCATTGATGTTCCATCTCTCTCCCTCTCCCTCTCTGAAATCAATAAATTATATAGAGGCCTGGTGCACGAAATTCATGCATAGGAGCAAGAGGGCCCTCAGCCCTTGTGTAATCGGGACCTTTCTTATAATCCAGAACCCCTTGGGGGGATGTCTGCCTGCCTGCCTGTCTGATCAGCCCTAACAGCTCACCTACCTACCTGCCTGATCTCCCTAACCACTCTGCATGCCTGCCTGATCAGTCCTAATTGCTCACCTACCTACCTGCCTGATCACCCCTAACCACTCTGCCTGCCTGCCTGATCACCCCTAACCACTCTGCATGCCTGCCTGATCAGCCCTAACTGCTCACCTATCTACCTGCCTGATCTCCCTAACCACTCTGCATGCCTGCCTAATCAGCCCTAATTGCTCACCTACCTACCTTCCTGATCTCCCCTAACCACTCTACCTGCCTACCTGATCACACCTAACCACTCTGCATGCCTGCCTGGTTGCCCTAACTGTTCACCTACCTACCTGATCACCCTAACTGCCCCACCCTCGGGCCCCCTGCCGCCATGGCTTGGCTTTGTCCAGAATACCCAGAAGGTTGTTTGGCTGTCCGGTCCAATTAGCATATTATGCTTTTATTATTACTAGAGGCTAGTGCACAAAATTCATGCACTCAGGGCTGAGAGGGGGTCCCCCAGCCTGGCCTTTTCCCCCTCACAGTGCCAGAGCCTTGCCATCAATTGCCCCAAAAAGGTAGGCCCCACCCACCCATCCGGGGCTCCTCGATGGATTGCCCCAAAGAAATAGGCCTGAGCCGGGGGTCCCACAGCAGGACCCCCAGGCCTGGCCATATGGAGTGATTGCAGGGCCCTCCTCCATGCTGCACATGCAGCTTCAAGTCCCGCTATACACACACACACACACACACACACACACACACACACACACTCTAAAGGCCTGGTGCACAAATTTGCACAGGTGGGGTCCCTTTGGGTGGCCTCAGGAATCGGGTTGAAACCCAAAGTCCAAAGCTGCCTGCAGCTCCTACCTGCTGCTCCCATTCATCTCAGCCCCACTGTGCCTGTCTCAGGCTCGCACCCTATCGGGAGAGGCTCATACTGTTGCAGCAGCACTTGCCAGCCATGAGCCCTCCCAAGGGGAATGGCCTGTGGGATCGGACTGAAACCGGCTGACATCCCCGTGGGGTCCTGGATTGCAAGTGCAGGCCAGGCTGAGGGACCCCACCGGTGCACAATGGCTGGCAAGGGACCACAAGAGGGCATGCCTGGCCCATCTTGCTCAGTCCTGATCAGCCTGACACCAGCAGCAAGCTAACCTACCTGTTGAAGCATCTGCCCCCTGGCAGTCAATGCATGTCATAGCGAGCAGCTGAGCAGCTTTATCATTCATCAGGATATTATGCTTTGATTGGTTGTTCGGTGGTTCTGCCATTCAGAGTCTATTTGCATAATACCCTTTTATTATATAGAATAATATACATATTTAAAATCAACTTGATGGCCTTCATCTTCCTCAATCTTTGGGGGTGGGGGCAGCAAGGAAAAGCCATTTTCTGTGTTTGGTAGGAAACTAACTCTGAAAAACACTGGTAATTATGACACAT